CCTTCCTACGTGTGTGAGATGTCCCCTTCCAACGTGTGTGAGATGTCCCCTTCCAACGTGTGTGAGATGTCCCCTTCCAACGTGTGTGAGATGTCCCCTTCCAACATGTGTGAGATGTCCCCTTCCAACGTGTGTGAGATGTCCCCTTCCAACGTGTGTGAGATGTCCCCTTCCAACAGGACTGGCCCCAGCCCCCTGACCTGCCTCCTCGGGGCATTCGGGGTGTGCCGATGAGCAGCTCCTGGGTGGCACTGCCCCTGTGCTGCCCGTGCCTGCTGATGGTGCTGGGGCACCACTCCCTGCTCCGGGCCCTCCGGACACACCAGGGGTTCCACGGCTCTCTGCTGCCCTGCTGGCCTGGCACCCCCGGGCTGTCCCAGCCCTGCTCACTGTGCTGGCCCTGTCCTGCCCTGAGCCGCCCGAGCTGCACCTCGAGGCCTGCCTGGCCCGGGTGTTCTTCATCCACACCTTCTGGGCCATCAGGCCAGGGGTCCTGCTGGCCACGGCCTTTGACCAGTGCGGCTCCACACGTGGCTCCGCTGGGTAGGGCACGGTGCTGGCTGTGACCTGTGCCCGTGGTGCTGGCTGTGCCCTGTGCCCTGTGCCCATGGTGCTGGCTGTGCTCCATGCCCGTGGTGCTGGCTGTGACCTGTGCCCGTGGTGCTGGCTGTGCTCCATGCCCGTGGTGCTGGCTGTGCCCCATGCCCGTGGTACTGGCCATGCCACTGTGCCCATGGTGCTGGCTGTGCCCCGTGCCCTGTGCCTGAAACTGTCAGTTCCCAGAGCTGTGTGACCATATGAGACCCCTCAGCTTTCACTGTATGATGGAGACAGAAAGCCTTTAGGCCCTGCAAGGGGCTCTCAGGTCTCCCTGGAGCCTTCTCTTCTCCAGCTGAAGCCCCCCAGCTCTCCCAGTCTGGCTCCAGAGCAGAGGGGCTCCAGCACTTGGAGCATCTCCATGGCCTCTGGACTGGCTCCATCAGCTCCATGTCCTTATGCTGGAGGCCCCAGAGCCAGACACAGCGTTCCATGTGAGGTCTCCTGGGAGCAGAGCCCAGGCTGTAGGGGTGAGCCCAGGACACGGCTGGGTCATGCCATGTGCTCCCTGATGCTCACATGAACTCCCCATCCCTGCAGCCGCCCCCAACCTGGCTGGGCTCCGGCTGGTCCCAGCGATTCACCCCCTTCCTTTAATCATTGACAGCACCACGTGTCTTCCCAACATTCCCTGTTTGCTTTTCTCTGTTTAACTTTCCACTGACGGTGCCCAAGGCAATAATGTACAGAGCAATTTTTCTCCCAGTGCTTCCCAGCTGTCCATCCTTTCCCTGACCTGCGTTTCCCATCACACATCTCCCCTGAGCCAGCAAACAGGGCGAGTTGTCACCTTCTACTCCACACCGGGGTGAGTTCAGGAGCTCCAAGGATGCTCCCAGGGATGTGAAGCCTCTCTGCTCTGGAGCCAGGCTGGGAGAGCTGGGGGTGCTCAGAAGAGAAGGAGAGACCTGAGAGCCCCTTCCAGGGCCTAAAGGGGCTCCAGGAGAGCTGGAGAGGGACTGGGGACAAGGGATGGAGGGACAGGACACAGGGAATGGCTTCCCACTGGCAGAGGGCAGGGAGAGATGGGATATTGGGAAGGAATTCCTGGCTGGGAGGGTGGGGAGGCCCTGGCCCAGGTTGCCCAGAGAAGCTGTGGCTGCCCCTGGATCCCTGGAAGTGTCCAAGGCCAGGTTGGACGGGGCTTGGAGCAACCTGGGCTGGTGGAAGGTGTCCCTGCCCATGGAAGGAATATGGAACTGGATGATCTTTAAGCCCCCTTCCAACCCAAATCTTTCAACAGTGCTGATGAACAAATGATGTCCAGGCACTGCCTCACTTCTTATTCTGATCAACCCTTGTGTTTTGTACCAATCCCACATTTTAGTCACGTGTGTGACGTTCCTTTGGAATCAGCTGACCCCACACAGCCCTCCCAGGGGATTCAGCTGGTTTGTGTTAATGGATTTGAAAGAGTTTTTCTTCCCAGAAAGGGAGAAGTCTCTGGTGCAGCAGCACCAGCACAACTTCCTTATTGGTAAAACATCATCTGCTCTGCAAGAGAGGCAGGATGAGCCCTGAGAAGTGAAAGGAGTTTACAGACAGCTCTGAAATGCGGTCGGACCCGGGACACTCCCATGAGTTCTACTGAGATGTTTTTCCTATTTTATTGTTTTCAGTAGCACCCACCCAGCTCCTCTCCTTATTCACCTTGGGATTTCACCCTCCTGGAAAATCCTGGGAACTTTCTTGTAAACTAACATGAGTGGGGGGGTCCTGGGGTGGTCACACGTTCATTGGGAAAGTTTGTTCTATCTTTGGAACTGGACATGGACTCATGTTCTGACCTAGTTTAAGAACACAAAATCCTCTGTTTACGCCTCCATATCCACATCTCCAGACAGAGCAGCCTCTGGATAAACAGATTCCATAGGTTAATCTCAGCCTTGAGAGTGCAGCAGGTCATGGGTGAGGCTGGGAGGAATTGGATGGTTTGAGTGGGACACCATAGAGGGATATGGGGATTTTCAAACTATGGGGGAAAACTCCAAAAATGCAGCTTCTGTGTTCCAGCAGGTCCAGCTCTGCCCTGAGTGTCCCAAATTTGGGGCTACTTGTGGGGTCCAATCTCTGTCCCAGGGCTGTTGGGGGTGGTGGGTCGGTGGGGCCGTGCAGCTGTGCAGCACATCTGCTCTAGGGAGAGCTGAGCTGCTCTGGCAGTTCAAACGTGGAAACTCCAAACCAAATCCTACCCCCAGAACCACATCCTACATCACAAACACCTCAGCTTAGGTTTCACCTGGAGGGTGGGACCCACGGGAGGTGTTTGTAGCTCTGTGGGTCATGAATAAACCCTGTGCCAGGGTTGGACAGCCCTTTCCATGGTGAAATGTTCCCAAAATCCAGCCTGAGCCTCCCCTGGCACAGCTGGAGGCCGTTTCCCCTTGTCCTGTCCCTTGTTCCCTGGGAGCAGAGCCCGACCCCCCCGGGCCCCCCTCCTGTCAGGGGGTTGCAGAGCCAGAAGGTCCCCCCTGAAAGGAACAACTGGTCTGTGATACAAACACAAAGAGCATCTGGGCATGAGCAGCACAAGGTTCTGAGTTCACTCAGCGTCACAGTTACTCATATATCCATTATGAATTCCCCTGGATCCCTCTCCTGTCCCTTCTGGAAGCAGAACTGTCTGATAACATTTTGCCAGATTGAATTTCCACCCATTCGGTGACATCCCAGTGATTTATTTTGAAGAAGTCATTGCAGAATTGCAGCATAATGTTGTTACTGCCTCTCCCCACAGCTCTGCTTTCATCTCCTCGCACTGTTACTGAGATGCCTGGTGCAATATTTTCCCAAAATCCAGTTATAGGGGAGTGGCAAAGGCGAATGGACACATTTGGCCTTATCAGAATGAAACTACTTCAATCTGCAGAACATAAAATCTGTTAAGAAATCAAAACCCAAAGTCTTTTCAAAATTATATCCCTGGAGGTGTCTGGTTGGACAGGGCAACCTGGACTAGAGCAACCTGGTCTGGTGGAAGGTGCCCCTGCCCATGGCAGAGGGTGGAACTGGGTGAGCTTTAAGGTCCCTCCCAACCCAACCCACTCGGTTATCCTGTGATTCTGTGACCCTACAGTCTGGAATTTTGATCTCTTTAAACCTTGAGGAACAAGGTGAAGGCACATGTGAAATTCCTGGGGCTTGTGTGCACCACGACCCAGCCACCTCGACCCAGATGTGTCCAGGCAACCTGGACACTCTCACATTAATTAACTGGCACCATTCCTATTCTTTCTAGGAAGGAAATCCTCCTGCAGAGCAAACCATGGCTGTCCCTGTCCCCAGCAAGCCCCTGGATCCATCTGACCCCATTTTGGGCACCTGGGGATGCACAGAAAATCCAAGTGTGCTTTTCATCCGCAATTTTGGTTGGTTTTGGCAGAACTGTGGTCCCTCCAGAGCCAGTGCTGTGTCCTCTCCTCTCCTGGCCACTCCTGGAGAGCTGTGCTGTGGGTGGTGAGCTCGAGGAGGTAGGAAGTGGGACTGGGAGGAATTCCCTCAGGAATGACACTTGTCCAAGAGGTGCTGCACACAGAGCTGGGTTTGGGCATTGGGCACTGCCCTCCTGGAGATCACACACCTGCAGGAGTTCCACAGCTTTGCCTCTACACTGCTTCCCTGTCAGGGCAAATTGTTGCACCCCAGTTCTTATTTAGAATCACAGAACCACAGAATTCCCAGGTTGGAAGGGACTCCCAAGGCTCACCCAGTCCAAGCCCTGGCCCTGCCCAGGACACCCCAACACTCCCCCCTGTCCCTCAGAGCGTTGTCCAAACCCTCCTGGAGCTCTGGCAGCCTTGGGGCCGTGCCCACAGCCCTGGGGAGCCTGGTCAGTGCCCACCACCCTGTGGGGGAAGAACCTTGTCCTGAGATCCACCCTGAGCCTGCCCTGTCCCAGCTCCAGCCCTTCCCTGGGTCCTGTCCCTGCTCCCAGAGGTGGGAGCTGCCCCTGGGGAGGAGCTGCAGCCCCCGCTGAGCTCTGCCCTGGGGCTCCTCTGCTCCAGCTGCACCAGCCAAGTGCCCTCAGCTGCTCCTCAAGGGCCCCTCCAGACCCTTCCCCATCCCCCTGTCCCTCCTGTGGACACTCTCTGGGAGCTTTAGATCTATTTTATATACAGCCTCCAGACAACACCGCCCTGCCTGGGGAGGTTTGGGATGTGCTGCACATGATGCTGCTCTGAGTTTGTATTTAGCAAATCACCTGCAGGTCGTGCTGACCAGCACTCCCCTCCCTCTCGGCTGCCTCGGAGTCGCCTCTGCCGGCGCTGCTTAATGTGGGAAAACAAAACTCTGTTTGCAGGTTGCTCTGGGGCTGTTTGATTTTCCACCCCTCACACTAAAAGCAGAGTCTGCTGCCCCTGCAGCCTCAGTCCCTGTCCCCCCTGCATTTCTGCAGCCCCACCGCGTTATTTCCCTCTGCTCCAGGTCAGTTTTTGCCCTGCAGGGCTCTCCCCCTCGGCAGGACGGGCTCGGTGCCGCAGCTCTCCCGGGGCCGCTCGGGGCAGCGCAGGAAATGGGCTGACACCACTTGGCTTTACCCGAGGTTTTGGCATCGTTTCAATTACAGACACGGTTTCTCTGCTCAAACAGCCCCGCTGGCTGGGCAGGTGTAAAGGAGGCCAGGCTGGAGCAGGACCTGGTTCATGAGGTGGTGAATCAGGGAATCCCAGAATCCCAGAATCACCAGGGTTGGAAAAGCCCTCCCAGATCATCAAGCCCAACCTGTGACCGATCCCCACCTTGTCAACCAGTCAGTCTCAGTAGTCTTGGAAGTCTTTTCCAAGACCAATGATTCCGTGATTCTATGACCAAGCCCCCGCCCCTTTCCTTTCCCTCCTCACCATCCCTTCCCACACTCCTGTCAGCTCTGACCCACTGAACTCTGCCCTGGAGAGTCAACATGATTAGGACTGGCTTAGCCTCAAATTATAAACATTTCCAGCACAGACTTCTGGGTGCCCAGTGGTGGCTGTGCCCCCCTCAGCTGGGCTGCTGGGAAAGCTCTTCTTATTTTTTGTGAAGATGGGAAAATAGAGGAGCAGCTCCTCACAGCCCTCCCCACACACAGCAATGCCCACAGGTCTGGGAAAAGGGATTAAGAAGAAACCCAGCCGGGGGGGTTGGGGGGAGCAGTGCCGAGAGTGGGAGCAGTGGGAGAGCCTGGAGGCACAAACCAGGGGAACTGCAGGATTTGGAGCATATCTGGAGATGAAATGATCTCACACTGTGCAGTAGGTGTGGGGTTATTCAAGCAAGTCGTGGCTGCCCCTGGATCCCTGGAAGTGTCCCAGGCCAGGTTGGACGGGGCTTGGAGCAGCCTGGGCTGGTGGAAGGTGTCCCTGCCCATGGCAGGGTTGGCACTGGGTGGGCTTTGAGGTCCTTCCCAACCCAAACCAGTCTGGGATTTTGTTCCACTAGAGCAAACTAAAGGTCCCTCCATCCTGCCATCCTGCCTCAGAAGAATTAATGAGTCTCAAAGGAGGGGCCCTGTTCCTCAAAGGGTCATTAATAATGGTTATTAGTGGCCATTTAGGAAGGTAATTTACTGTTTATCGTTCCCTTGGCACATGTCCCAGCATCTGGCAATCAATCCAGAGGCTTCCTGAGCAGGAGGCAGCACCTCAGCCATCACGTTTCATAGAAATCAATGAATTTTTCACCTCTGGACTTGACTAATCCTTTTTTCTATATACTTTGGGCTCCCACAACACCCAGCGGTGATGAGTCCCAAAACTCCATTATAAGATCATTAAACCCAGTACATTTTTACTTGTTTAAAATCATAGAATGATTTGGGTTGGAAGTGACCTTAAATACATATTTATAAATATCCTTAAATATATCTTTAATCTGCCTGATGTTTTCAGGGTGTGTTGTCCCCTTCCTGGCTCAGATAGTGTGAGTACAGAGGAATAATGATTCCATATGGATCATCTCCTCCCTGTCTATTATCTTACAGACCTTTCCTGGATTGCCTCATTGGCTCTGCTCGGGGCTGAAAAGTCTTCTTGTGATAATCTCCAATTTTACAGGAGCTTCCTTGGAGTTGTCAAGCTGTTGGACTGGACCATTGTGGGTTCCTTCCAACCAATTTTTTCCCTTTCCTTTCCTTTCCTTTCCTTTCCTTTCCTTTCCTTTCCTTTCCTTTCCTTTCCTTTCCTTTCCTTTCCTTTCCTT